CATTTTCTCCACCTTGATTCAAATCAGAAATTTTAGAAGATGCACAGAGTGTGTTCCAGGGTCTTCTACTTGGAAACATAGAGGTTTGGGAAGTTCTTTCATGCACAGTGAATGGAAGAAACAAAGGAAGACTACCTGTTTTTGTTAAAAACACATTAAGCATAACCTATCTTTCTTTCTTGTGTGGCCCTCTGGAAACAGAAACTACAGAGTATTCCCCAAACAAACAAACATACTATATATATATATATAAATACTTGGGATATTACACATCTGGCCCACTGCTAAATGGCCGCACAGTCCCTTTGCTTGCCAAAGAACAAAAATGATCTACCACTGAATCTTTAGGCTAGTAACAGCTAAGATGAGTCTGTATAAGCTGTTGGATCACCATGATTGTGGAAGAAAAGACCAGACTCAGTGAATGGTACAGCACTACGAGCTACCTCAGGGGACCACCGGGCTGCACCCTGGATCCTGTGGCCCCTGTTGTTTTGTTCTTGGATTTCCAAAGCAGCTTGGCAGGAAGGGAGATGAATGCCACTTCCTTTTCTGTAACTCTAGCTTTGAGGCTATGTCAGTTTCCACAGCTGTGCAGAGTTTTTACAGATTGCTGCATACAAAATTTCATCCCTCCCCCTGTGGAAGCAAAGTCTTGCCTAACCTGCTGTTCAAACACAGGTTGAAGGGAGGGTCTCCGGAGTTGCTACACTGCTTGCTGAGATGCACAGTGCTCACTGTAGTCAGCTGGCATTCAAGTAAGATAGTACCAGATTAGACTTGAAAAAAAATGCCTTCAGCCAATTTTCTCTCTCCTTTAAATAGACAAATGATAAGTGATCAAGTGAAATGCAAATGGAATCCTAGAAAATTCTGTTGCTGTGATTATGTTTCTCCCTCACAGGTGGGAAGAGATCTACTTTTCTGACCTAGAATAGCTAGGTTCAAGGCAAACCCGCTGGACAAGAAAATTTGAAGATGACTGAGGATTGTATCACTGTATTTAAAAATAAGACAAGCTTCCCCAGTTGATATAATAATTAATATGATTTAATTTGTTAATTTTTCCACTTTATTTTAAATAGCCAAAAGTCTCACAGCAAATATGCAAAGAAACTGGAAGAGAGCAGTCCTTCTTTGTTGTAGCCTTCATCACTATTAGGAGTTGAAAAACGCCTTCCTTTTTTTTTTATACCCAAGCCAAAAGAAGAATGTAAGATTAACCTTAGCAACTTAGGAAGCAATATAATTTTGATTTAGGACAGATTACCTCATACTTGTCTGGAACTTGAACAAATGAAGACTGAAAACTGCGTGAGCAGCTATGATTTCTGACATCAAGCCTTTTACACTCCTTAGAGAAAGCTGGTTCAGGAAAAAATTAGAAGAGAAGACCAGCTTTAGGTTCCCTCACAGTAGAGTGTATATTCAGCAAATAACTCCAATAATGAATATAAATTCAAGCTTAACTAACTATGATAGCCCATAATTTAATGTAGAAAATCACACAATATAGTTACCCCATATATAAAAATGTACTGTAAGTACAAAAGTCTCAACTTTCACAGCAACAAAATTTGTATTTTTATTATAATTAAGGGGTTTTACTATTTGTAAAGCAGATCAAATTTATGTTAATGACACAGTCACATTTCTTCACACCAGACTCCTGTTCATCAAGTCAGTCAGCAAAAAAATCCATGCTTAAGTGATACCAAAAGTTTGTTCTTCCATAATTTACATCCCCCTAATGAATTCCATCTGAAATTACTTTGGAATCTTAACCAACAGTCCTTTTTTTCTTTTTTTTTTTTTTTGTCTACAGATTTTCTTCTCTTATATTGATTGAGCATTTTCTCCACATCTTTCCAAATAAGATCCTCTGGGAATATGACTACCAGACTTACAACTGGAAATGTGAACTCTGGTCTTTTTGTTGCTGTGGACTTCTTTGTTTTATATTTCAAGGCAGTTGTTTTTGTTTTGTTTTTCCTTTTTTTCTGTCACAACCCCTCTCTTTCATAGTATTTCCACAGAGCACAAAGCAATTGGTACTCAAAAGCTGTTCAAGGCAAGCTCAAAACACTCTAGCAATTCCAGCTGAAACCAGAAGAACTGGATGGTTTTCCACAACCGCTTTCTCCAAAGCCTCCTTCTCTCTGTTTCCATACTTTTTTTTTGGACACTTTTTGTCTCCCAACTTACTCTTCCACTTCAACTCCAGTTGGTCACCACCATGATTTCCAACCCATTATATCATTTGAATGCAACTTTTAGATCAAATCTAGATAATTAGAAAAAAAAAAAAAAAGTGCCTTTTTGTACACACATTTGAATGTAAAATCTGTAGAAAAGTACTCAAAAGTTTTAATATGATTTTAGGGAAATGACGAATGAAACTTGAGGGATCTCTTCCGTTAAATCTCTTAGAGAAGGAACAATTCATTTTTACTCAAGTAAATTAGCCACTGTATTCGTAAATCCGACCCCAAAATTGTTTCTATGTTCAGAATGGGAGCATTACTGTTTTCTTTGTAATTAAGCCAAGGATACAGACACTTCAGTAAAGAATATACATGCAGCCCAGAGCTGAGATAGGTATGCCCAAGATGTACTCTTCAGGTAGCGTTCCCACCTTGAATTATACTGTGCACTGAATTAATACTGTTTTAAACATCTGATGCAACACAGGAATTATCATAAATACTTCAATTGCACTAAGAACCCTCAAGACGAGTGATTTCATCGGTTGTGCACTCAACCAAAGAATTTAGGATGACTACCAACCATTTGCTTTGCTATGAACCTACCCACACAAATTTGTATTCACACTGATAGTTTCAGGATGTTTACAGCCAAAATACATACTGTGTTTTTTGCTGTGACCTACTCTGGCTATTACTGTACTATGTACTTTTATATAAACAAATAAAGTACAAGCCAAACTTTCACTGTTTGCATAACATTACTAGTAGCAGTAAGAGCTCACAATCATGTGCATATCAAGCAGGAGCCTAGACAATGTTCCGACACCACATGTAAGAACCCGTATGTTAATGTAATCACTTTAAAAATAGATCTCATGCTTATTCAAAAACCACCATCTTTACTGTTCAGAACAACCCTATTGTCTTTGGTTTTTAAGCTCTTTTTGCTAACTGGCAAACTTTCAGTTATTACTGGTAACGACATTTTTAAAATATGTTTTACGCCTGTTTCCAGATCAATTATTTCCTAATAATCTCGGCTTTTTCGTCTTGAAGATGAAAAGCGCACTGCTTTGTTGACTCCTAAAGAAAATCCTCCATAATTTTTCATAAATTTCTGTGAAACAGGATCTAATCATGACAGAAAAGACATCAAAAGTGAAGGTATGGTAAATGCAGATACACAGTATCTATAAATTACAATGACTTAAGACTGGGAAAGAAGTTTCCTCGGAAGGCAGGAAAGGAGAAGGAAGATAATAAAAGGTGCTACCGGTTCACACAGTAGATGTGTGCACATGCTAAAAAAAGCCACCACCACCTCAACAATAACAACAACAAAAAGCCCTCACTGTTTAGATTTCACCAACAAGGACAGCTCAGACAGCTCATGGATGTACAAACATCTATGCATGATGTCATGTGTAAGTACAGGGGGGGGTGTGCTTAAGTGCTACATAAAGGAACTGAAACCTCAAAGTCAGGGAATGAAGACAACTACTGCACAACAATAAGAGAAAATTTTTGCAGAAGTGAGGATATCTTTTCCAGGTTGTTATAGCTTTGGGAAGCTTAATTCAATTAAACTGGCAGTTTTTGATGATAGATAGATAAATAGATTGATAGAGAGATATTACATGAGATATTGACTTCAATGACGCACAAGCTCTCAAGGTCAACTTGAGAAGCTGTATCTTTATAGCTACCAGTAGCAGACAGAGTGGCCACAGGAGATATTAATCACATAACACACTGCCTCACTCTGCTCAGGGTACAAACTGGATGCCCAATTAAGGGATTATTTTCTTTCAAGTTTTTCTTCACCAAAATAAATGCAGCTTGTTTCATTAGGGGTTTTAAGAACACCTTACTGGTAATGATTTCCTTTGCATGCCATGAATCAGGTAGTAAAAACTTAATTCACATTGCTTGAGGCAGTTGCTTACTAAGCCTTTAAAGATCAAACATACCCTAACTGTACAAGACACTGAGACGCGGCACCTACCAAAGATCCTGCAGCAATCTGAATGGTACTAACTTCTTTCTAACAAGATATACAGGAAAGATGAGCTATACCATAAACAGTATAAAATAAGGAAATGTTGGCTAAACACTCCTACGATGGCAAAACTATCAGAACACAGACCTCATGAAAATGCTAGTCCTTAATGAATAAAAAGAGCATTGCAATACCAAAGAAATGCACAGTGATCAATTTATGCACCCTCATCAATCTTTCACAGAACTGTAAAGCCTTTTTCTTTTGCTAAAACACAGATGGCGCACTACTGTGCCCAAAGACCTGCAGGTAGCCGCAAGCAGACAACTGACCTAAGTGAGTTGTACTGTCATATAAGATGTCAAAATGATGAGACAACCTTACTCAACCTCCAGTACAGGAGAAGCAGAGCTATGCTTACACCAACTGTATTCACATCCAATTGAAATTACTAACAGCAAATTGGAGGGCTGGAGGAGCTCAAGTCTAATTCAGTAGCAGCATAAGGTACAGCAATGCATTCTTTAAAAAAAAAAAAAAAAAAAAAAAAAAAAAGTTCAGAAAAGAATTACAACCTGGCATATTCTACTTGAATTTTACAATGCGTAATTGGAAGCCATTCAACAAAGGTGTTCTCACTTTTTTTCCAGATTAACACAGAACTTTACCAACAGAAGAAAACAGATGAAAAACATGTGTGCATGTACCTATTACTGCATTTAAAAAAAATGCACAAATTCCACCTTGTCTTTTTTGCTGATTTTTTTTTGTTTTGTTTTGTATTGTATTCTTACCTTCTACTGCTCTCTTGAAGAAAACTTTACAGCTGCCGCATGTAACTACCCCGTAATGACATCCAGATGCCTCATCTCCACATACCAAACACACTTTGGAAGGCCTCGAAGAACCAGATGATACACTTCTCAATGAAGAGCTAGAGAAGAACAAAGCAAAAGGAAAGTTATGAATATTTCAAATCACACTGGCCACAATACAAAGTTCAATTAAGAATTTATAACAGGTATATTGCTCAAGGCACCTAACAATTAGGAAACCACAACTCTTTCTGGCAGTGCCTTCTTCAACACATGCGTTGCTTTAATTACTAGAAGAAATATTTTATTGTCTTCTTTAAAACACTCATAATATATCAATGTTAATGCGAGAAATTACCACAGGGGCAGTGGAATTTATTAGTAGCAGATGACTAAAATTGAAAATAAACAAACAAACCACTCTGGCAGTGTCCAGAAAACTATAAATTTTCTGGGTTTTTCTGACTTTTTTTTTAATTTTTTATTTTCGTCTCAAGCCCTTACAGGCAAAGTACATCTGTAATAAAGCTGCTAAGACCATTTCACGAAACCGTACAGCACAGTGGTAACTTCTCTTCCCTTATTCATGGGCCTGCCTATCACTACAATGGCCCTTGAGTTTATAAGTTATATTTCTGTAATTGAACAGCTTGCTTCCAAGAATAGTGAATTGGAAGCCTTTTTGCATACAGCAAGTGTAGAATATTCTTCTTTATTACACTAAGTGCCAGGAGAACAGCCCTAATATTTCAGAAAACGTTCCATTCTGAAGTTCTGCAGACTGATGCATCTTGCAAACTCAACCTCAACTTAAAACATGGGGTATTTTATGTTGCTGTTTTGTAGTTGTTCTTGTTTTGGGTTGTTTTTCTTTGAACTGTGACTTTCAGGAGATCTCTTTAATTAGTATTTTCTATTGACAGCTTTAAAAGACAGTGCTCTTCAAAAACCAACCCCATTTCATAACGCAGCGAGTCTCCTCCCTCCCTTCTTCCCTGGGGAAGGAACTGGAAATGCCTCCCTTTAATTGGCACATTCAGTGAAATGCGTCAGATACCAAAGGAGAAGAGAGCTTTGGATCCCACCCACACCTGCAAAGGACTGGGGAGGATCTTCCCCTTGATACTGTCTCCCTTCTCCAGGTAAACATGACCTCTTGCATATCTTCACACCTTATCTCTCTGAATCCTGTCAAGCAACTACAAAAACAACTCTGGAAAATTTTACACTGGTGGTGAAACAATCTGATAGTTCAAACTGCAAATCAGAAGCTATTTGTCAGCCAGGTATTGGGCAACAAAGTTCACAGGTAGGCTTAATTCAAATGCAAGATAAGCAGCTGATTAAGAAATTCCAGGGATGCACTCTTTGCCTTTTTCATTCTGTATCTTCCTTTAAAGAGATACACACAGGCCAAATGATTTATCCAGGGGCACGGCAGGAATGTCACTCCAGATCAAGGACCACGAGTCCCCTCGCCTGCAGGTTCGCTGCAACATTCAAACTAAACATCTTTTTAAAAGGCAACATTCAGAAGTTAACCAAAAATGTTCCTGATAATATTCCTGTTCTTGTCTACTTGCTAGTCTGTTCGATTTAATAGTTTTATTCCCTGTGCTATTTATACTTTCATTACATAACATAACACCACTTGATAATTGCTGGGTGATGGCATTAGCTCATCTGCCAGTGAGACAAAGGAAAGCCTCTCCAGACCTACAGTAAGAAAGTTTGATTTGCTCAAGTCACTGGCACAGTTATGCACACTGGGTGAGCAGAGCTGTAAGGCAGCTACTTTGGGATTTACCAAGACTATGCTGCTGTTCAGCACTGCATTTCAGCTCTGCATTTCGATATGTTCAGGAAATGAATGCAAGTAGGGTAAAAACCCCTTTTTTCCCTGCAGCACATTACATACCGTGTGAAAAAAAATTAAAAAATAAAATCAAGCTTCTCATTAAACAAATTTCTTCAGAAGGTGTCTGCTTTCTAGAGAAAATGTCAGCAACCTGAAAAACTACCGAGTTGAAAATTCATGTTTTGCTTTCTCACTGCAAACTGCAGTATTTTGTCTGAAAAAGGAAACATTTCAGTTCTGACACACCACCAAAAATGTCTCAGGGCATTTGTAATTTCGGTGCCGCATGTCCCCATTTCTTCATAAGACACAGAAATTCTCCTACTGTACAACTACTGCAGCCTTTCTGCCCCAAGAAAGGTCAGTACACTTTTTTAATATCTAAAAAGGTAATTCTGGTAGAGAACTCTTACTGTGCTGAAATAGAGGATCTCACAGCAGTGTGTACATACAGACACGGCTGTGTATATACAGAGATATGCTCTTTTTAGTTGAAAATAAATTGTCATGCAGCATTTGCAGAAGGTAGGAGAGCCTTTTTTAGGTATTAACTACCCCTTAAAATTCCACTTACATGAATTAGTGGGTTAAAAAAAAGCCAGTAACGACATATAGAGACACTGTTTGATCCATAACTATTATTAAATGCCCACCTAAACCATTATCTTTAGCATATTTTATACAGTGCTTATCGAGATAAAGGGCTTGAACAAAGCTAAATGGCAAAAGTAGAGCTTGAATGCAAAGCATGCATTTAGCTTTTCAGCCACAGCAGCACAGGTGGAAGCGTAACATTCCGGAATAAAATTTAATTAATTCCCATATATCCTTTTAATCAGATTAAAAGTGGAACAGGTTAAAACACAAATGAGATATTTTCATTTTTAATAGCAGTATCCAACAGGGTACAATTCTCAAATACTCTACTCCAAAGAAACACTGATATTAGCTGTTGGTACTTAAATCTCCTCCAATATGTGTCAGTTTAAGCTGTGATTGCCTTTTAATGTTTTGCTTGTTTGGTTTTAAGATTACCTATGTTCTCTTTCACCTACACTACACCTAAGTACTTTCTAATTTAAAACGCTGTTACATTACTTCATACAGGAGTTACAGTGGTTCTCGTCCACACCTGCAAATAATAAAATGCCAAGTTCCAAAAATATGCTCAAATCACATTGCTAAGCTTCAAATTAAGCCATTCCCTCCATTGAAGCTATTCTGCTCTCAACAAGGGATGAATGGATGGTTACATCTTTTCTTCATAAATCTTATTTACTTTCACACCATTATTCCTTTCTTAGAGACTTGACCGTGGTAAGATTTGCATCAAGGCCAGTCTGATGAACAAACTTCTTCTCTGTTCTCAATTCAAGGCCAGATATCCAGCTTGTATGACACAAACACACTTGATCTCTTCACTACTTGCAGTAAACCAACTACTTACTTCATTAGTATAACCACATAACCTATACGTACAGGAGGAAACACCACAGTAAAAATACCCCCCCTCTTCGAAAATGCTTCTTTCATGTGTGCTGTTCTCAGATGAACATTTCCCTATTCATTATTTTTGCCACTGAAACATCCCATAAATTTTTATGAAATAATCCTAACCTGAATTGGTATTTGGGAAAAATACTGTTACTGGGAATAACAATAAAATCTACATGTTGATTATAACAAATACACAAATTAATTCAGTTCTAATTTTTTTTAGTGTGCTCAGTCTGATTCGCAGCACCATATGAAAAGCTTAGTTACAACAATACGATCACTCCGGTAGTATATCATTCTGTTGTTTAAACATTACAATAGTTGGTCCCAATAAGAAAAGATGCTAAAAATTCAGTGGACCTCATTAAACCTCACTCCCTAGACAGCCAATCGCCCAGTGCCAAACATCTATTTCAAAGACACCCTAAGCCTAACAATATCCGTAGGCAACAGCAGCAGGACAGAGTCTTAAAATGCTTAGCACAAGTGAAAACACTGCTTTTACACATTTGCACAAGTCCAAACTAGAGCAACAAGTACTGCTCTGTTATACACAGACAGTGTATTACAGTGGTTACTGCTGATCTGGAATTTTTTTGTGGACAGCAATTTGCTTTTAATACAACCTTCTAACTGAAAGTACAAGAAAGACAGCATGAGATGCCACAGAGATTGGCTACTCATAGTTGCTTTTATAAGCCAGTGGTTTCCAGTCTTACTAAGGGTTATCATTTTCATGCCTCTGTCACATTTCCAACGTAAAGAAAAATAAATAAACAGGAAAACATCCATACTACAGGATGCAAAGAGAAATTATCTAACACAGCATACATATTTTATCACAGCAACATCACAGCCAGGGACAGCATGGAGCAATTTAACAATGTCAAATGTATCTTCTAAATGATTCGTAACATGGTCGCTTAGATGGCTCCACTCACATTTGTCACATTGTAGGGTGCGTGACAAGGAATAAGCCTGATTTATTAACCTCAATAGTGCAAATGTTGGCAGTTAAATACTGACCTTGACCAGCCGTTGCCATCAAATTCATTTGTGCTTCCACAAGTTGGTTTTAGTAATAGTTATACGGAGAATTAATTAGAAATAACAGATTTTGTAAAGAAGAGTCAATAAACCCACAGATAATCCAGCATTTTAAAAGCTGATTACACAGGTTATTATGCTTCTCAAACCAGATGTCATACAGGAGCACCTTTCTGATGATAAAACAACACACTTCAAGGAAGCACAAGGCACAGTAGGAATCCTAAAGTCATTCGTTCTAAATACTTTCATTAATATAAGAGCTGGATGAGTCCTGTTTAAATTCCACATAATTGACTTTTTCATGCAGAAGTTTCCCCATAGTCAAATGATCAGAAGGAATCCGGTTTCCTCAATAAATATGTTATGAAAAAACAAAGTCAAAAAGTTGAGATTAGCAACAGGGTTTATTTGGTTTGGTAAAAATGTGGGAGGAAGAATAACCAGGAGCTGCCACAAGATGCACAAACTGTCATGACCTCCAGCAGTAGCAGGCACCATTTCCCTGATCTCGCTCCACACCACTAGTTTTATTGTCAGTGCTGAGGTCTTACTCATGTAAGTTCTGCCTTGTGCAGCCTGACTTTCTTAAAAAGTTTCACTGCAGGAATGTACTCTGGTTCTCTGCTCCAACTACACGCATAAAGCAGATTAGCAGACTGGAAAATGGTATTTCTTAAATGTCAGTCTACATAAACCAATCTTCTTGTCAGCAGA